CTGCACCCACCCACCAAAATCTGAAAAGTTTACATAGAGGTCTTGACTGGGTTCAGTCACGTATACGGTCCAGATGGTCTCAACATCTTATTCTTTCAAGGCTGCATCCTTGGAACAGCTCCCACTGTGGGAACGGTGGGCAGAGTGTACATTTCAAGGACAGGGGAGGGTGTGAGAAGCCTCCCATTGCCCTAGTCCAGCTCACCTGTCAACCAGTGGTCACATCCTCTCAATGACCTCCTCCAACAGTAGATATTATGACGGAATGAAATATGTTACTGTTCTTAACAATTGTTCCCATTGTTAAGACATTCTGATGAATAATTATAGACCTGCTGTCACAAGTTCATGCGAGAAAAAAGAATTTGAGATGTTTGTGTTTTGTACTTAGAATATTCTCAAGCTACTAAAACTTGTCATTATTATTTCACAATCTACCACAAAATAATCAAAACATAATAATCTCCTTGATGGACAAGAATTTCTTTATTACATGTGTTTCCACTGCAGCCCTTAGTACCCTGTCTTGTTCAAAATAGATGTTTAGTGTATTGATTTGAAAGACTCTTTTTGTTATTTCTAAGGATATTTCTACCTAATCTCTGAAGATGCTCCCCAACAAAACTCAAACTTGTCATCACAGAATAACATTGGGAATTATAACCCAAGTGCTAGTCACATGTTTTTTGTTGGCTAACAAATTTGTTATACATATAGAAATCATATATACAGAAAATAATTTTATTTGCATTATTGAAGCTATGAATTAATAACTAATTTAACCTTATTTAAAGAGCTACCTTTCACTGAATTATCACAGAAGTTAAAAATGCATAGTTTTCTGTAATTTTACATTTTACCCAGTTTTTTCTTCAATTTCTTCTTTCATTGTATTTTAAAAAAAGTGGCATGATCCCTTTTTTATGAAATTGAAAAGAATGATTTTGTGAGATCAGAATTCAAATATCACTGGGTAATGATATTTAAATAAGTCAAAATAAGTCAAAAATTTTAAATATAAAAAGTAAAATTTCAATTATTTAAAATGTAAGTTTCAGCTCTTTATATTAGATACATCTTGTTAAAAAACTATCAGATGACATAATTTCTTTCTCAATCTCAAAGAGTTACTTTTAATCAAAAAAGCAGTATTTATGACATTCAGAAATTGACTACCGTGTTGATTTGCTTCTACCACCCTTCAATATGAAATGAGTTGGATGACATACCCTTCTCATTATCATTATTTTTGTGATATATATTGAACATTTATTACTTGGGAAATAGAATTGTCTCTTCAGACATATTACACTAAAGTGAAAGGAATTATTACATTTATGCATGAGATCTGTTTGTTCTTATCATCTCTTGAAAGAAACCATTATTATGTCAGAATTCCCTGAGGTACATGACCATTTTTACTATGTTAATACATGAATTGTTCCTTTTCATTAAGTAGTTTCAGTTGAAGATAAAAGTAAGTGAAATTCATTGATATTGCTTTTAATAATCTAAAAGAAAAAGTTTGGAGCATAGTCAGGATTCCTTGCCTTCATTTTACTCATTTATAAAACATGCTTAATAGAAGTGTACTTATTTTTTAAACTATTCCAGAAATAACTTCATGTTATAGTTATAAATGACACCCAGCTTGAATTTATTGTTCTGTGTATCATTATTCTGAAAATGCATCTCATAAATAAAATCAGTTACTATGCTGACACACCACTTCCCAAAGTGTGTTCCAGAGAACACTAGTTAGAATACTCACTGATTGCAATACACACATTAAAATGCGTTACATTGGTAGGGAGTTTAAGAAACACTAGATTAACCTCCAGGGTGTCTCATAGCCTTCAGTATGTTAAAATACAATATGAGTTGCCTAGGGGAAATATGCTGTATAGTGCATTCCCTGCATAGTGGTTCGTGAATGTTCTTGAACATAGACCAGAACCTCTTTTCGTGGAGCAGTTTGAAAAATCTGAGTTCCAAGGCACATATTTTGGGAAACACGTGATACAATGGTTATTCAAGCCTGATAGGAAAAACAAAACATTCATTCAGCCCCAACACCAATTATCATGGAACCAACCAAACTGAACTGTATTGTTACAAAATAATTCCCTCCCTCCCTCCACTCCCTGCAAAAATTACCTTTAGTGTAATCTGATTTTGCAGAATCAGGGCTGACTAAAATATTCAAGAGGGCTTAATATGCTGGTTTTTCAAGGGGAGGAATGTCCTTTTAAGTCTATGCTAATTGATTTTTCTTTCTCATGTTTAAAAAATTGAGATAATATCAACCAATTTATGAGAAATTTAGATTTGTATTAGTAAATTTAGGACATTTTGAAGATTTGAATATCACACTTTTTTTCTGATTATCTATGGATGAATGGATGTAAAAGAGGCATCTTCAACTGTAAAAGGAATCTTTACTTTTAATCACCAAAGAGCAACAAATTCAGGGCAAAAATGTCAATATCTAAAGATAGCAATTCACTCACCCATGTAAGATAAGATTCATAATGGATATGTAGTAAAGAATCCTATTGGGTAGAATGAACTGATGAATTTTTAAAAACCTGCAGACTATTAATTTTCTTACTTATTTGCTGTAGATCTTATGTTAGAAATTTTTTCAAGTAAAGCCAATCATGTATATTTCTTAATTGTGTGATGTATACTATAACATTGTTCATGATAAAGATTTTTATGAGTATACCTTTAATTTTAAACAAGATGCATATTATAACTCAAAAATATTGTAGTATGTACATATTTAAATATTTTAATGGCAAAATATTCTCTCCTTTTAAAAACCATATTTTTACAAACTTTACTAATTATAATAAATAAATTTAAAATTTTTCAGAACTTAGTGAACTCCACAAGAATACATTTTAAACTATATTCAGCATCCTAGCCAGTCACACTATGTTACATTGGTATTAGCAAAGAACACAATGCTTCTTGAGTTGAAGTTTTGGATATTTATCCACATAAAGAGCCAAAGTGTTTAACTAAAATAATTTCTATTAAAAACTTTCAAAGATATATTAAACATTTTCCAGCTCTCTTAAATAGGGAATATTGAACATAGGTTAACCTTTTCTTGATAACGCATCATCATCAGAATTCCTATATCTCAAAGGTGTTTTATTATGCATGTAGCTCTAATTACCTGTATAGACAATTGTCCCAAATACTGAACTTTCACTTGTTCCCTCCCTTAGAACCATCTCTTCTCAGTACAGATTGGATGTTCCCACACCTTGTGATCTGCCCCACATTTTCCTCCAATCTCTTGGAAGTTAATCAGAGGCTAGCCCTAGGCCTCCCCTACAGAGTAACATTCATGAATTTTGTGACAGCTACTTCCTCTAGGGAGAGGTGTTTGCTCACTTCTAGATTTATGGCTGTGTTCAAGGTAGAGCCGGGCATGCAAAATGTCTGACCTTCCAGAAAGTGAAACGTTTATCCATCAAATCACTTCAAATAGTAAGAGACCATTTTCACTTTTGTTCACTTCCCCTATGTCCACTATGTTTATTTGCAAAACTTCCTGTAAAAGATTTGCCAGGAAGCTCTGGGTCAAATTTCACACTAATTCATAGCAACTCTTTATTCGCGTCTTTATTTACTCCCTATCTGGTTCCACAAAGTTTTTATAACCACTAAGCCTTTATGGTTAGCATATCTGAGTTCTCCTTCTACTTTAAAATGCATTTCAGCTTTCCCTTTCTGTATTAATAAACTTTGGGCATGTACTTTCTAAGTAAGTTAGGCCAAAAACAGTTTGAAAATAACAGACTCAGGCTAGGGACTTAATAGTAGATTTTAATCTTCATGATTGCCTTCAAATTAACTATTACTGTTCCCTATCTTACAAGTGAGTTAACCGAGACTCAGAAAGCTGAAAAAATAATTCTATTGTCCTACATTGAGAAGTCATGGAGTGAGAATTCCCATCCAGACCCTTCTGACTCAAATTCCCTGGTTAGTTCTATAATATACATGGTTTTTCAAACCACCTAGAGTAAAAGTCCACAATTGATATTCAAAATGATGACTTGAATCCTTTAAGAAAAGGTTATATTTTATTCAATATATTTCTTCAAGACCTTGAAATTCTAATACACTTTAGTTTTTCAACCCAGTATGGTTCTTTTATCCATCTTTCAAGTTTTAATATCATTAATAGTGCATAAATCTCAACTTCAGACACCCAGAACAATTCATTCTCACGAGTCTAAAAAGCCCAAGTCTTATTATAACTGATATGGTTTTATTTTGCTACTTGTACTGCTATTAAAATTAGCCATGCCCTGTTCTGATGTTAACTCTGGAGCCACAGTAAATTTATAAACATAATTAGCCTCCTATACCCATCAGGTGAACCATGGACAGAACATTCTACTCAAAGTTATAGTATATTTTATGTTTGAACAAATATAAGTGACCACTGTTGTTCATTGACATTTAATTTCTTAGTATCAAGGCAAAGTTACTTTTATAACTTTATAGCAAAAAAAAGAAAAACTTTCTGAAGAGTAAACTTTAGCCTTATACCATAAGTTCACTAACTTATTCTATAATACTTACATATTTTCCATGACACATATTCCTGTTATCTCCAAGAGAAATTGGACTTTGAACATTTACTAAGCTTCATATTAATAAATAAAATAATCTTCCAGTATAGAGGCAATCACAATAAGTGCTCAGAATAAATAGATTCTGGTTTTTAAAATGGAGGTAAACTACATCATTTAGCTAAATCAAATTTGCCCACATCCTAGTATTGAAATTTTATTAATAACTTTGTTACATTGTTTTCAGTAAATCCCACGGATCTCATTAATTTCAACGATGTTAACCAGAAAAACATGGAAATACAGGCTGCCTAGTACAACTTTCCCAATCCCTGACAGCTGCTCTTTCAACCCTGTCAATTACATTATAAATCTGTGTATGCTAAATCTCACAAGTCTTACCGTCAGCTTCTCCTCTACATTCTCGTTTAATAGGCTTCCTTTTTCATGCTTTTCAAATTCCATGTTGAAAGAGAATGAGAGAGAGAGAAACAGAACAACAGAGATTCAGATTGTGTCTAGAAAATGATTTGATGTGCTTACATGTTAGATATTGCAGGACATTCCAACTTGTGAGAGCCCAGGACACTATCAGAAAGCCCTGGCGATAATTTCTGGTTAGCTAGTGTTTCCATTTATAGACGTTCAAACCCCATAAACAGAGCACTGAAGAGAAGTCAGGCAGCTGGCCTCAGATAATGATAAATGTCACTAGATAGAAAAGCAAACTCTTCAACAGGAGAATATTCCAACAAGTTAGGTTCCCTTAACCAAGAAAGATTGTATATGACAAAAAGCCACTAACAAAGTATTCATTAATAGCCGTTGGCACAGAATAAAATATACTCTAGAATATAGACTTAATAAATCAGTTTAAAAATGACAAATGTGATAGTCATATAGCAAATACAAACAAGCCAGTCTAGTTCTTCCAAATTCCAATTTGTACCCTGGTGGTCCAGACATTTATGCATTACTTTGTAGCTCAAAATTTTAAAAAATAATTTAAAAGGAAAGAGCAAAGAATAACTAATTAAAACTTTTAAGACACACAACATATATTCAAGGAGTGTTGCCAATTTTATTCCATGAATAGTTGGCAAATGATGTTTAGAAAGACAAGGAAATAAAAGTGGTGTTTTCCCTTAACAAAAACTGATTTTGTTCCTAATTATCCTGGCTTTTGCACTGGGAACAAAACTATGACACAGGAGACGAAATTCATTTTTCCAGTGAAACAAATGTTTTCAGAATTCTTTAGAAATTGTTACACGCCTTAAAGAAAATTAATTATGTAGTTCAATGGTGATTAACTCTCCCCACTTTTTGCAGCAAACCAGATAGGTGGATGGTAATAAAAAATAAAAATGGCTTTCAGAGTAAGCTAAGACTGATCTCTATGGTGGCCTAATCCCTCAGCCTGTTTAAAACATCCTTTAACACCTGTTTCCAACCTTAACTAATTTTCTATCAGTTTTTCCTTCATTTCTTAGGAAAACATTTTAAGAGAAGTGTTTGAAGCTTTATCCTTCACCGTGATTATAGCTGGTTCTCTGCTGCCTGGCAGAGCTGTTCTCAAGCTTATTCCACAATCTGATGGAAGGGCTGAGGACTACAGAAGGGAAACATTTAGTAAGAGAAAAACCAGCCCTTCTTTAGGATGATGAATGCAGAAACACGATATTAGACTCACGGGCAAAAGGGGCTTCCGCCTTTGGCTCTGCATTCCAGAAAGGGAATCATCCATGCTAGTTGTTGTCCTAACAAGTTTGAAAATTGAAGTCTTATAGGTTTATTAGCATGCAAGATCTGTATGTGTCAAAAATAAGGCAACAGCTGAATTTTATGTGAATGGAACTTCCAAACTCTCTAGAGGAAAAAAAGCATGCCATGGCTGCAAAAGGAAATTTAATTATTGCCAGTTTAATGCCTGAAAGTTAAATTCAGGATCTGCTTGGGAGGGGGTAGAAGGAATGGCGGGATGCAGAGTTGATTGGGAAAGGAGAGGAGGATAGTGACAACAGGAGGGATGTAGCAGTGATAGCAAAAGGGATGAAAAGTTTTCCTTCAACAAATGTGTGCTGAGTACCTATAATGGGCGAAGATTGTTCTAGGTGCAGGTGGAATTTTTAAAATAATAACTAAAAATAATAATAAAATTAAAAGATATAACCTCTATATTTCTGCCCTCAACAAACTCACAATGTAGGCGTGACTGGATATACATAGGATGGTAACACTCTCACACAGCACACTTCAATAGCACTCACCACGTGACAGGAACCACTTTAAGGCTTTCTACATATTATCTCAATGAATTCTCAAAACCATTCTAGAAGGTAAATGCTGTTATTTTCCCCAATGATATGGGCTGAATTGTGTCCCCGAAATTCATATGTTGAAGTCTTAACCCCAGTACCTTAGAATATGACTGTATTTGGAGATAGGGTCTTTAAAGGGACAATTAAGCCAAAATGAGGTCATTAAGGTGGGCCCTAATCCAATATTTCTGGTGTCCTTACAAGAAGAGGAGATTAGGACAAAGACACACACAGAAAGAAGAACATATAAAAAACATAGGGAGATGGAGGTCATCTATAAGCCTAAGAGAGAGAGCCTCAGAAGAAACCAACCATGCTGACAGCTTGATCGTGGACTTCTAGCCTCCAGAACTGGGAGGAAACATATTTCTGTTGTTTAAGTCACCCGGTGTGTGATATTTGTTATGGCAGCCCTAGAAAACCAATACACTCATTTTAGAGTTGAAAAAATAAGACACAGTTACACAACTAATAAGTGGTACTTGAGTCCCCCAGCCTAAGCTCCTAACCACTGTGCACTTTAGCGCCTCTGAACAAATCATTTCATCACAGGCATAACAAGGAGAATGGGGAAATAGCACCAGCACCGCATGGCGAACACTATCTACTCCATCCATTTCAGAGATATGGTTAAATATATTTTAGATCCGATTTTGGAAGAAGAGCTTTTCTTAAATAAAATTATGCCCATGCAAAAGCTATCCCTCATCCACTTGCTGGTCAAACAGAAACAAGACGAGCCACACTGGTCTCCTTTCTGTCAATCACAGCAAAAATGCGCCTTCCTCTGACTGGAGAGCTCTCTCCCCAGATAGTCACGTGGCTCCCTTCTCATTTCATACAGGTCTTCCCAGTGACCTCACCTATAATAGCAAACCCATCACTCTCTGTCCACTCATTTGCTGCTTTCTTCTTCATAGCTCTTATCGCCTCTGGCATTACATAATTTCACATGATATTTTAAGTTTATCCATATCTATTTATTTGTAGTTTGTCTTTCCTACCAGAGGGTGCTTTATTCATCATCTTATCCAGGCGCTTAAAACATAGTAAGGATTAAAGAAATTCTTGCAAAGGAAAAAGGGCAGGAGGGAGAGGAAGGAAAGAAAAAAGCAAAGAAGGAAAGAGAGATAAAAGGAAGGAGGGAGAGAAATGTATCAAATGGACGTGACTTAAGACATTTAGTACATTATTATTTATAAGATTTTTGGTAGGAAACAGGAATAAAATGCATATTTTTCCAACACAAATCATAGTACAGAGGAACACAATATTGATTTTTCAAGACATGTATCTTGCTCAGATAACTAACCATTAGAATAAAGGAGAAATTAATGGACTTAAGAAGTGGGAAGAATTGGATTCATTCAGAGATTCTGCCACTTTCTATTGGATCACTTTGAGCAAATTACTTAATTTTCAGAGTTTCAGCTCCCTTTTGCTTAAATAGAGAGATGATACTAACCTTATAACGTTACTACAAAAATTAAATGTTGTAATGTGTGCAAAGAACTTAACACAGTGTCTGGCGTCAAGCGGGTTCTCAGTAAAAGTGTGTGCCGTTAATTCCCTGGGTTACATGAAGTTTATCTAGGAAAGGTTACTTCAAAGATAGTATCAAAGTCCTAACAAATGAGGCACAAAAATTAACAGAGAATGGGATAAAACATTGGCAAATCATTAATCCGATAAGGAACTTGAATCCAGATTATATAAAGAACTCTTACAACTCAACAATTAAAAAGACAACCCAATTTAAAAATAGGAACAGGGTTTGAATAGACATTCAAAGAAGACAAACAAATGGCCAACAAGCACATGAAAATATGTTCAACAAAACTGTGATTATGGAGCAAACATCAAAACCACAATGAGATAACACTTCACAACCACTAGAAGGGCTAAAATCAAAAAAACAAACAATAACAAGCATTGGCAAGGATATGGAGAAATTGAAACCCTCGTACATTGCTAGTGGGGCTGTAAAGTGGGGCAGCCACTTTAGGAAACGGTGTGGCACTTCCTCAAAATATTATACATCGAATTACTACATGATCCAGCAATTCCACTTCTAGGTATGTATACAAGAGAAATGAAAATGTACGTCCACACAAAAACTTGTACACAAATGTTCATGATAGCATTCTTCATAATAGTCAAAAAAGGGAAACAACACAAATGGTTATCAACATGTGCATGGTGAAACAAACATGATATATCCATACAGTGGAATACTATTCAGCAATAAAAAGGAATGAAATATGGATACGTGCAACAACATGGAACAACCTTGAAAATATGGTAAATGAAAGAAGCTGGTCATAAAAAGCCACATATTATATGATTCATTTATATAAAAGATAATTTGTGGTTGCCAGGTATTAGGGGAAGTGCAGAATGGGGAGTAACTGCTAGTAGGTTTGGGGTTTCTTTTTGGGATGATGAAAATATTATGAAATTAGACGGTGATAATGACTATATAACTCCGAATATTCCAAAAACCACTGAATTGTATGTTTACTTTAAAAGAGTGAATTTTATGGCATGTGAATTATATCTCAATAAAGCTAATATTTAAAAAAAAATAACAGAGGAACATCTATAATTACTTTCTAAGCTGTAAATCTATGATTTTTTTTTCAAGAATATAATATGCATAACAGGTCACTCCAAACAGGAAATTAAAATCTATGCTACAGTAGGCAAGCAAGGATTCCATTCATCATTGAAAAATGACCCTCTGCAAATGATATTTGCTCAAGATATTGCCACCTTATCCTTTGCATCATTCTTGGCCTGTGTCCTTTGCCTCATCACCACGTGTCTTGTAAGTGATACGTGGCTAGTGAAACCTTAGCTGCTCATATTTTGTATCTACATTCAAGAACTGGAAGAAAATGGAGTTTGCAGCTATTAGAATGGCTTGTTTCTCTACTGGGTCAGAGGGCTAAATGTAGTTTTGTTTTTTGTTTTTTTAATAGTGGTGATTTCCCCACACTTGCCATTTACAGAACTTTCATCTCCACAACAAAAGCACAGATAAATGCTCTATTGCTGAAACTTCACAAGGTAGACAGACACCCATAAGGCATCAAAACAAATGCTGTTTTCTTTTGAAAAAATGGCAGTCTGCAAAGCATGGTGTAGACAATTGAGGATCTTCCTCACTGTATACTCCAAGAATAAATATCTTTTTATTAAGACAGGGATCCTCTTTTGAAACCTTGAATGCCTTTTGTGTCGGTTTCTTA